ACATACTTGTAGTCATGACATACCAATTATTGCCATAGTGTCTCTTAATAATTGTTCGTTTAGAAAAAAGGGCAATAAGTGAAAAAATAGGAGACAAGAAAAAATAATGTCAAAAGACTGTCCTGCTATAATGCTGTATATGGTTAGGTTTCTAAATTTCTATGTAAAAATATGTAGTGTTTACTCATATTTTTGAAATATTTTTTATTTTTTAATTTTTTCCTACATTTTCTGTAGAAACTTAAAGTTCAACATATCAATACTTCATGGAAAATACCTGTTTCATGTTATGCCTAAAATGTTTGATATTCAGACAGTTAAGTTAAACCCAACTGCATTTGTCATACGGTAATAATAAGCTTCTCTTCTGGAGGGTTAACAACCTAAGTTTGCATACCTAAAAGTAGAGAAAAAGAAGGGCTGCAAGGACTGCCAACATTTTGGCCCTAGCCTTTCAAGGTCAGTGAAGACTCAGGACATAGGAGAACTTATACTGTAACATCATGTAACTCAGTTGTGTCCCAAATTTTTGATCAAGGAGATTATAGGGCTACCAAGCAATGTGATTGATGATGTAGAGTGTGCCTAAGCAGAGTCATATGGAGAAAAAACATTGTCTCAGGCTTTCACAGAGAGCAAATTGGTCAAGCAATGGCCATGACTCATCCACATGGCTGACACTGACAAAGGATCTGCAAGCTGCAGTACAGAGTAACAGGATAAATCCTGAGGGAACTTGACTGACCTTATCAGATACAAAGGATACATTTCTTGTTATATAGGTCTTGCCTTATCTTGGTCTTAACCACTGCCCCGTCCAGTGGGTCAGTCAACGAAGGTCACCTGGGAGAGGCGGGGAGTGGAGGAGGGGACAAAGGACAGGAGGCACAAGAAATGGAGACAAGACAGGATTCTGATAAAGTCTGGTTTATTCAGGGCAGGTGCTAGGTATATATAGGGAGTGTAGGAATGAGGAAGTCTCAGCTCTTGATGTCAGCAGGTATCTAGGCAATGGAAGAAGGTCCCATCCCTGGGGCATAGCACGTGATTCATGGGGAATGGGCAAGGCGGGAAGGACCAGAAACTTAACTCAGCAGGGGAATAGAAACTTAAGAAAATGACTGACACTATTATAAAATGGATACCAGTTACTCCTTGAGGGGACTGTGCCTTCTTTGGGTCAAGATGCTTTCTCATGGGGCTGAACCAAACTTTTCCTCTCATAGGAAAGCAGGGCAGCAGAAGGCACAGTTCCTGTCTTAGGTGGCGGTCGGTACCACATGTGAACCTCTAATTGCCCATCTCTGGCTATGCAGTCCATCGCACCAAGGTGAGAAAATCTCTTTACCTGGATTGGTCATTGTCGTAGTGTACTCTTTCGAGTTCAGCACAACTTTCTCTGTCGGCCATCTCAAGCCTATAGTAATGGACCTGTATGGGTTGCATTTTAATGGCATCCAATTGTTGTTTAATGAAAGTCATCAGCCTATTGAAAAGACAGGGTCCTATTGATAAAAATATTAATAGTCCAATCAAGGGTCCCAATAGGGGGAGAAGGTAGGGTAGTACTCCATTCCATGCACTCCAGAAAGGGTTTTCAAATAGCTCTCTTCTCCTCTTAATAAGATCTTCTTGAAATCTCTTTATTTTATCTCGAACAATACCAGACTTGTTTGCATAGAAGCAGCAGCATTCCTGTAAAGCCAAGCAGATCCCTCCCTGCTCTGCTGTTAGAAGGTCTAAGCCCCTCCTATTTTGCAAGACTACTTCTGCTAATGAATCTATCTGGTCTTGGATATCTTGGATAGTGTTTGAACATCATCAATCAGCTGATTAGATAATTTGGTATAAGAATGTACTGCTACTCCCAACCCTGCTGTGCCTGTCCCCATGGCCGCCATGACTCCTAGCACCACTAATAAAGGGATGAACTGGACTGCCCTCTTTGTGTGGCCCATAGCATAATCTAAACTGGGAAGGGGTACGGGATCATTACCAGAGATGACATCTATATCAGGCAATACAATTGCCATGGCGAAGAAGGCGCGCTAGGATCAGTGCTATATGGTAGAGGGCCCTGAACCTCAGGCTGCCTGTCTTGGCCCTGATACTGAGCGGTTTCCTCTGCCAGTTCGTCCCAATCAACTTCATTATAATCGGCTTCAACTTGAAGAGGTTTTGGTAGTTTGGGATATATTTTTTTAACTTTGAGCGTAGCTCCTTCTAAATCAAAGGGGTTAATTTTCTCCTTAGGCTGTAATTTGGAATTTGGCAGCTCTGGCTTCCTGATTTCGATTTCAAGATTCTGTTCCCTTACAGGAGGGCACACACCCTTAGCGGGGGGTCTTTGTCCTTTTTTGGCTTATCATGATCTCTATCATCATCACTATCGAAAAACACAAGATCCTCCTCTCTATTTTTTGTGTCTGTCTGTCCTTGTTCCTTTTGTCCTTTAAGATGGGTTTTACCTTTTTGTCCCTGTAGTATATTTTCACCCTTTTTTTTTTTTTTATCACATTAGCAACAACTGGGTCACAGTGTCTCTGGGATAAGATTTCATCAATTAAATTCCAGTAGGAAAAGGCCATAACTGGGACCTTTTCAGGTCCAAAAGTTTCATAATAATCTTTAAGGGCATCATCAACCCTTTTCTATCACCTCTGATCAATAGTTCCTTCAATAGGGAACCATGGGCAAACTTGTTTAATATATTGAAAATATTGCAACAAATCCTTAATTTTAACCTTTACTCCTTGTGCCTTTAATGCTTTACTCAAGCTTTCAACAAATATCTCGTGTTCACTTAATGCCTGTCCCATTGCCAAAGGAAAAGGGAAAGGGGGTTCCATCCACTTACTGAGGTTCAGACATCGCAGCAGGCAACTGTGGCATGGGTCTCTTTTGCTTTCACTCTTGCGCGCTCACTCAGACAGTTCCGTTGCTGAATCCTCTGTACCAGGTGCCCCACACGTTGGGCGCCATTTGTCCCGTCCAGCGGGTCAGTCAACGAAGGTCACCTGGGAGAGGAGCGGGGAATGGAGGAGGGGACAAAGGACAGGAGACAAGAGAAATGGAGACAAGACAGGATTCTGATCAAGTCTCATTTATTCAGGGCAGGTGCTGGGTATATATAGGGAGTGTAGGAATGAGGAAGTCTCAGCTCTTGATGTCAGCAGGTATCTAGGCAACGGAGGAAGGTCCCACCCCTGGGGCATAGCACGTGATTCATGGGGAATGGGCAAGGCGGGAAGGATTAGAAACTTAACTCAGCAGGAGAATAGAAACTTAAGAAAATGACCTGACACTATTATAAGATGGATGCTAGTTAATGGCTTCCCACAAACCACCCACCAGAAAAGCATACAAACTAGGTATGAAAAGTAAAGCCATATTAATATGCTGAGCTGTGGAAGGCTCAAGTCAAGAACTTCTGATATTGCCAATCCTATGAATCATTCACTACTATTATGGATTACTCGACTATATCGGATTATTTTGCTGAATTTATGCACCTACAATATTTAAATGGCAATGGAATACCCATCTCTAACAAAACTTAACAAAAAATGGTGATACAATGAAGGACCACTTGTTATGTGTATATACAAAATAATTAGGATAGCTATACAGCTACTTTCTCTCAATTCAATGAGAAGAAAGATTTGTATTAATAGTATTTGGACAGGATACCGTGTCTGCATCTTGTACTATGAATAGCCACTAAGAAGATAACAATATGCAATGTATTAATTATTGAAACTTTCCTATTAATCTGTTTTGAAACTATCTCATTGCTATCTGTTTCTAGATAAAATTAATTTTAAAAGACAACAGAACATTGTAAAATATAAGGTAGAATACAAGTCTGGAGAAAACAGTCTGAATAAATATCAATGACGGAAGGGCTGGACTGACACATGGCTCTCCCAATACCCAACCTGTCTACCAGCACAGGCATTGTGCTCAAATCAGCACTGGGGCCCTCAGAAAACAAAGACTGTCCCACTACAGTATGAAATATCCAGAGGATTTCAAGCACTGAAGATTGCTAAGATCTTCTTGCCTAATGCCTTTGCCTACCTTCTAGGACTTTTGAAAAGGCCTACTTTTCTTTGCTCCCTATTTATGGCCCTTTTGCCCCTCATCAGCCAGCACTCAGGTGTAATGCCCCATGCCATGTTGCTTTTCCGCAAGTGTGCTGATCTCTGCTAGCCTCTGCCCTGCACCATTCCTTACAGGGACACATACACATATACACATGCAATGTACATACTGATGCCCAAACTGTAGCTCAAATGCTCATGTTCTAGAGAACAAAGATTTGGTTTTAACATAAAATGTAATGCTATACTTGCTAACAATGGAGAGTCAGCACCATCAGTTTAAGTACACAGTGGAAAAATTCCAAATGCTTTATGTGGAACAAAACAAGGCACCCACCACAAGTAGCTACTAACGAGTTTCATTCATATAAATTTAAGAATTTGAATATCATCTATGTGGTAGAAATTATTCTTTTTTTTTTGCTTGTTTTTTCAGAACTGGGGATTGAACTCAGGCCCTTGCACTTGCCAGGGAAGCACTTATTCCACTGAGCCATCTTCCCGGCCCTATGTGGTAGAAATGAGAATAACAATTTCTCCTAGGTTAGAGCACTATGCAAAATTCATGGCAAATGCTCATAAGGGATGGTTCAGGTATGGTGGAAGAGTTGTAATTTTTATTTGATTGCTACATAGGTACACATATTTATAAAACTCAACTGGGCAGGCAGACATTGATGCCTGTGTGAAAAATGCTTTAAGAACTAGGTGGCAATAAGTACAGCATGGCACAAAGTAATACTCGGCTCATAGTCTCTGCATTTCCTCATGAAACAGTAAGAAAAAGCAAAAATTCAGAAAATTTGAGTCAGTCTGATGTTTCTTTTTTTTTTCTTTTTTTTTTTTTTTGGATTAAAGGATCCGTCAGATTTATTTGTTTATTTTTTATGTTCCAAGTGTGATGGGTTTATTTTATTTTACTCTGATGCAAAACTAAAGATTCCACTATATAGCACAGATACCAATATGTTAAAACATCATGAAAAACTGGTGTGGAACATGCAGGACACAATGTACGAACCAGGGCATCAGGTCATTTCCTTTAACGTGACACTACATGGTCACCGAGGAACACACTTGAATTACACTGAAGAATTCCAATGAATGTGGCACAAACATGAGAATTTCCTGGTCTGCCTTCAAGAAGCACCTGGAGGAGGGACTTGCAATCTCTTCAAATCAGTGTGGGGAGGATTACAATACTTTGGAAGAATAAAAAGTTCACACTTTTAAAATTTCACAGAATTTTAAGACTAAAACATAGTGGGTCCATTGCTCTTCACTTGCAGGGACAAATCTAAGGCTTTCATCAAGACTACATTAAGCTTCCAGTTCAAATCCCAACCCAACATTGTGACCTCCAGCGTTGAAGTTCTTCCCATTGATTAAAGCAGACAGAGTCAGTTTGACTCCTGGTCAAAAGGTCTGCGTATAACCCAGTCCCATCAAGCAGGCATTATTTACTTTAGCAGACAGAGAAGTTCTACAATCCAGCTTGTATTTAGCAGTGATGCCAAAATGGGTGTTGTTGCTGCCAGCTGTCCATGCAAGGTTTATTGATGTTTCAATCTTTTCATTAACTTCCTAGTAGACAGAACCTCCAAATTCAGTGCCATCATTCACATGAGTATGGAGCTGAAAATCTGCAGCCTCGTAACCCAGAGCAAAATTATTCTGAGACAGCTTGGATTTGGCTGTGTCAGAGCTCATCTGATAGCCAGCAAACCAACCTTCAAAGGCCAACACAGCCCAGCCATAGATGGTCCAGAAAATTCTATATCAACGTTACTGCCAGGACTGAAACAATCCCGTTTATAGGAAGCCTTCAATTTCCCACTCTCCTTTCACGTATTTGGTACAAAGATAATATCAAGACTCAGTTTCAAACCTTCTGCTAACTTATTCTCCAAAGAGATTTCTGTCCCAAGAGTATTGTCTGTGTTCCACTTCTGGGTGAAGGTAAGTCCATAATTACAGACCTTACATTTGGTCTCTAGGTTGCCTGATGCTTTCCCTGTGTCCATGTAAGCTTGACCTGAAGTAGAAAACTCTACTCTACTACAAGACTTGGTTTTCAGGTCTATTTTGAACATGCCAAACCCATATCCTTTGTTGAAGACATCCTTGACAGCCTTTCTTAGGTCACAGTAAGTTGGTGTGTTACACACGTCTCCAACCCAAAAGGCCATCCTGTTCCACTAGGGTAATGGTGAAGGTCTCCCTGGAACCACTGCAGTCAGCGCCTTGTCCTAGCAGTTGGTCAGGATTCTGGCAAAGAGTCATTCTGGACCTCTGTTTCCAGATGTCTTTAGTGTTCCTGATTATGGTAGCTCCTGCTTGGTGAGGTTTGTAATCTGGCACATTTTGAAAACACAAACCAAACAAAACTACAAGTTAAACATGACTCACTGTGGCTTTGTTGTGATTAGCTCTTCCTTAGCTACCTTATTTTAAAACAGACACTGCTCATTGCCTGATTTAGACAGTGTAAAATTATGCATTGTTCCATTTCATTGCTATCTGGGACTTTTTATACCACTGCACCCTAGAGAGAGGTGCACTCTGAGATCTCACCATATGGCATAAACCAAAGCTTTTGGTTGTGCTATAATTTGGATATGGCTTGAAGGTGTCGTTTACGGGTTTACATGTTGAGATGCAATCCCTATTGGGTAGAATTTTTTGTTTGTTTGCTTTTTGAGTTTTGTTCTTTTTATTTTTATTTATTTATTTTTTGGTGGAACCAGGGATTGAACTGAGGCCCTTGCGCTTGCCAGGGAAGCACTTATTCTATTGAGCCATCTCCCCTGGTCCTCCTTGTTTGCTTTTTGAGACAGGGTCTCATTATGTGGTTCAGGGTGGCCTTGAACTCATTGTGTAGCCCAGCCTGACCTCAAACTCTCCACAATCCTCCTGTCTCAGCCTTCCATGAGCTGGGATTGCAGGTGTGTGCCACTATGGCCAGCAAGAGCGTAGAAATTTAACCTGACGATAGTGTTTAGAGTTAGGGGTTTGGAAGTGATTAAAGTTAGATAAGTTCACAAGTGTGGAATGGCCATGATTGGATATTGGTGACTTTTTAAGAGAACCTGGAGGAGACATTTACCTATAAATGTGCCCCCTGTCTCTTGTCACGTGATGCCTGGCACAGCAAAAGACTGCCAACAAGAAGGCCATCACTAGACATGGGCCTCAAGAACCATGAACAAAATTAAGCCTCTGTGCTTTACAAAGGTACCTGCCTTTAGTACTTCATTATAGTGATGCAAAATAGGCAGATTATCTTCACTTTTATCACACTCCTTATAGGAATCACTGCATGCCACTAGAACAGAACATGGGCGTTAGTGAGAGAAGTGGAAAGAGAAGGATACAAGAACCTGGGGCCTTTGCAAATAGTGCAGACACGTTCACAACAGAGAATGAAAACCTCCTTGATCTCTGTAAGCATGTCCCTCCCTTACCTGCTTAGGACTATGCCCTTTTCTTTTTCTTTTCAAAGTTTTATTGATAAACATATAGCAATGAGACAGTTTCAAATCAAATCGAAAGTACAGTTTCAACAAATAATACACTGCATAT